CGGGACTGACCTAGGGTGAATTTTAAATAGGGATAATTTTTAATGATTTTTAATAAGAGACACAGCTACAAATATTTGGTTTTAATTGGCTTTTATTGGGGAAATGTGCTATGTTGTTTTAATATGCTGTGAGCCGCCCTGAGTCCCGTGGGGAGAAGGGCGGCATATAAGTCAATGTATTAAATTAAATTAAATTAATATTCTAATTATTTCATCCCAATCAGTGCAGAAATAAGACTTAGAAGATTTCAGCGCCAATGTGCTCTGAAACTCATCAAAATTTATTTGTCCCCTTCTCCAAATCTAGACATAACTTCTGTCTTTGCTTATGCCTGTTTAGTTATCTAGTCTTACCCTAACAATAATTGGCCTGAGTGATTGCTCTCTTATACTTGCATATTTTGTTTATTCTGGTAGAAGTACAGGGTCGGAGTGCAGGTCTGATTGAATCAAGAAGAGCAATATGGTAAGGAAAGTTTGTAATGCTCAGTACTTTTGCTGCTGCAGCAAATATGAGAAATATCACAGGATATTAGTTGATGCGTGCAATTTGCAGCAAGAAACCAAAATGTAGTCTTGCACATTTTCCTTCTAAGATGCTATCCAATACTTTACAAGATTGCAATATCAAATTTGCTGGAATGGATTAAGAAAAATGATTTTCCAAAGGCTATTAGCCCACTTTCCTTAGCAAATGGATACTCTCTCATATGCTCATTTTCAGGGCCGCATTCTGCATTGGATGCTTATAGATAGTTTCTGCTTAGGAGAATGCAAACATATTGTTTATTTTCCATTTCCAAGCTGTTCTCACTATAATTCATTGTGATAACTGTTCAAATTGGGCTTAGCAGTAGTGTTGTATAACCAAAGTTTGAAAGATTCAAGTGAGGTAGCAAACCATGAAGTGAACAAGAGAACTATTATGAAAGGCCAGGAAAGGTGTATAAAAAACTGCTGCATATTGTTGTCCCTAGGATTCAGATACCAACTGAATCACATACAGCAATAAACTTTGAAGATTGAGTAAGATACAAGTTTGTGAGTTTTGAAAACATGTTTTATATAAGAAATCATCATTGCCACCACCACCACCTCAGGTCCTTGAGAAGGACTCATTAGGTTAGGGGTAAGCAACCTTGGCTCTTTTATGACTCGTGGACTTCAACTCCCAGAATTCCTGAGCCAGACTGGCTCAGGAATTCTGGGAGTTGAAGTCCACGAGTCATAAAAGAGCCAAGGTTGCCTACCCCTGCACTAGGTGGACAACAATGCCAAATCTAAACATCTGGCTGACTGTGCAACCAAATATAATAATGCTAAGCCATAATCTATGGTTGACAAATTGTAATGAGTAAGGTCTTTAACATACTAAGCAAACACATGGGCAGCCAAGAATATTTTATAGTTGAGTGCACTACTAAACCTAGACACTATTCAAAAGACAGCCCAGAAGAAATGGGATTTCCATCTGAAGGCGACATATTTACAATGCTTCATTAAGAGTGATGTCATCTTGTCAGACAGGCAACATATGTAAGCACGTTTGGAACTTGGAACTCTTGTCTCCAACCTATACAGTAGGGGTCTTCAAACTTGGCCCTTTTATAACTTGTGGACTTCAACTCCCAGAATTCCTCAGCCAGCGTGCCTGGCTGAGGAATTCTGGGAGTTGAAGTCCACAAGTCATAAAAGGGCCAAGTTTGAAGACCCCTGCTATATAGTGAAGATGATTTTAACATGCCTCTGCCCCTGGCTGCAGATGCAGGAGAACATAAATATGGCTGTTAAATTCTTGTCCTCCCTTAACTGAATACTACCGAATGACTTCACCTTGACCTGTGTTCTCAAATGGTTAGATGCATGCTGCAGTGAGGAATGGCGGTCTGTAACCACAACCAAAGAAAAACCTGTTTGAAAATGTAACGTGACAAGGAGAGGCAGATGTTTCAGCTTGGCAGAGGAAGAAGCTAAGAGAACAAGATGGCAGGACAGAGCCACAAGCAGCAAGCTTATGAAAGCAGAGGTTTGCATCACTCCCAAGACAACAATAAATTATCAGACTACTCAGTTACTTGGAATAGCCAAGAGGCAAGCAAAAAGTGGACTCAATGAGAGAAGAGAACTTTCACCTCTCTTCCCCAACTGACTTTAACCTCTGAAAGTCTGTTTCATGGATCTGGAAACTGTTGGCCTGAGTAATTATCCCTAAGACAATCCTGGGGGCAAAAATAAATATAACATATTGCAAAATTTTTATCTCTGAGCAAGAGCTCTGAGGGCAGCTTAGAAACCTATCTAGATTCTTCAGGTTTAAACAGAATCAGAACTCTGGAAAGGAGAAACGAAGTGTGATTTGGTTACAACCAGGATTGTTTCAATCCACCTACTCTTCCTTTGTCTTCCTTCATTTCCTGTCTAGAATGTAGCGAAGGTGAAGTATATGATTTTTTTTTTTTAAAAAAAAGGCAGCGGGGGGGGGGGAAGCTTGCTGAGTGGGGTCTGTGTGTCTGCTCCTGCTATAAAGAACGAGGTAAATCAAAACAGATGAGACTGCAGCAAATTTAATTATTAACATTGATTCAACTGAAATACATACAGCATTCTATCTGCAGCCTCCTCTCTTCCCACCTTGCACTAAGATTATCATTCCTGAGTGGGAAAATCCCAACGAGATAGAAGTTTGCCTAGACTAAAAAGCAAAAACAGAACGGGAATAGGTGGTTGCGTGAAGTACGTGATGGGGAATGTTCATTATTTTTTTTGAAGCCCTAACTAAATGTGGGAAGGTGGGATTTTTCCAGACATATGTAAACACACTAATGTAAAATGCATTACCGCTAATGGTAGAGAGAAAAGGTCTTAGAAGGAATGGAAGAGCCCCTAGAGGCTGCTTTTATGATGTTTTGCTTGCAAACTTCACAAAGTAGCATGCATAACGCTTGGCACTGGACAGGGGACAAAGTGGTCTGCCCAGGTTTTTACCTGTGGACCTGGGCCCATCGGTCCCATTCCTCGAGGAGGATTCATCCTTTGCATCGGCCCACCCATGTTGGGATGCCCTAGTGAGAGAACAGACAGGAAGATGTTACAGAGTATTACGGAGAAATAAACAAGGAGCAGAGGGAAAAGCCCAGTGAAGGAATTTCTGAAGGCACCTTCAACATCTGTTACCTTGTTGCCGTGTAGGGTCCATGGAGTTGGGCAGCAAAGGCTGTGTACCAGGAACACCTCCTGGAGGCTACAAAAGAGGGAAACAAAGCTGATAAAATCTAAATTATGGATACCTAAAACAATTAACATTCTGTCTTTTCTATATTAACTAGAGCTATAGATAGGCAATACTTTATTTCTAGTCAGGGTACCCCCATGCAAAAAAATGCAGAACTCATTTTCAGCCAATAACACATGGCACTGAAGTTAAACCATTGGATGCAAGGCCGTGTGAACTGCTTGGAAGCACCTGAGACTGGTATTGTTGAATGTGGATGAATATAAATCTGAACCCTTGCGAGATGAAATTTTAAAAGCTGGGTTGAGGAAGTTGTGTCCCTTCAGCTACTGCTTATATATGACCCTCAGCATGGCATAATTTGCCAGGCAATGTGGAGATGCTGAGAATTCAGCAACATCTGGAGATCCACAAATTCTCTAATCCTTCTTTACAGAATAATACTGAGATTATCAAATTGGGTCTCAGTAAATTTACTTAACTAGTTCCATATTAGTTTCTGTTTTGGATTAAAGTGACTTCATAGGAAGTTCATTCAAGCTTGACTTCTTAAAAGATCTATTAGTATTGTCAGTAAATAACATACATATCTATTTCACATGGAGATGTGCAACCTGCAGTTGGAGAAAAAGGCCCTTCCTTGGGAACTCAAGTATCAGTTTCTATGTACAGATGCTACAGATGAGCACATAGCAAAAACTGTCACTCAGTTAAGAAATCTGTCCAAGTTATTTGACTCCCTTCTAAAAGAAATTGGTTCTGTTCAGGAACTACATAAATGATAAATTCTGCTTTCAGAATTTGCTCTAAGAAAGCAGTGGATTATATACTGTATGGACATACTTGTGTACTAAGTTAGTATAAATAATTATAGAAAAATCACAAAGAACAGGTTTAGCAAGCCTTTTTTTTTTCCAGAAGTGGACTCAGACGTGCTTTTAACAATTCACAGTCTCTCTTTTACAGCCCTTAGCCAAATGATTTAGCTTGAAATTTAGATAATATGCACAATCCACTTCCAAGCTCCAACCTATTTGTTATAGGCGTTCCAGAAAATCAATTTGTAGAGCAGTAATGTGTGATTATCCATATGCTAAGGGGAATCCAGAAGCCTTCTAGTTAGAATTTTTAACTACAATTTTCCCTGAATCAAATGACAACATTTCAACACTGATAAATAACACTTTCAACACTTTTCTGGTCCACTTTGGACCAGAATGGAACATGACTGATTAATATTGCAGATACCTACTCCTATTTCAAACAGGAATAGGCAGACCCATCCTCTGCCTCTTATGTATTTATATATTTATTGTATTTGTTTCCCCACTGTATGAGGCAAGCAGAGAATTATTTTTAAGTAGCAGAATTCATTTTCAACTCTGAACAGCAGGAAGACCATACTGAAAACATTTCCCTCCTTCTCTCTTTTAATATGCCAGCTCTTTGTAAATTGCATATTTACTTTTCCTAACATAATTTTCCTTGGAGCAATTAGTTGTTGTACCCTGCTTTCCTTTCCTTAACTCTGTCTAGGCTGTTTTTTCACTGCCAAAAATTATCATTCCCTTATCCATGACACAGCCACAAAAGGCTTGGGATTAAAAAAAAAGAAACTAAAAATAAAACGAGAGGAGGAGGATTAACTCTTGATTGCTGCTTTGTCAGCAATTATAGACAGGTGTCATGAAATACAGCTTCTTTTTGGATTGCTTGTGGCTGATGGGAATCGTAGTCCAAAAATAAGTGAAGGGCATTTGATTGCCTGAATTAAGGTCACATCTGAACCCCAAATTTCCGTTGCTAAGCAAGGCAGTTGCTAAGTGAGTTGTGCCCCCGTTTTACGACCTTTTTTGCCACCGTTTTAAGCGAATCACTGCAATTGTTAAGTAAATCGCGTGGTTAAGTGAATCTGGCTTCCCCAGATTGACTTTGCTGGCTGGAAGCCAGCTGGGAAGCTTATAAATGGCGATCACATGACCCTGGGACACTGCAACTGTCATGAGTACATGCCAGTTGCCAAGTGCCTGAATTTTGATCACGTGACTAGAGGGATGCTGCAACGGTTATAACTGTGAAAAACTAGTCATAAGTCACTTTCTTCAGTACTGTTGTAACTTTGAATAGTCACTAAACTAATGGTTGTAAGTCAAGGAATAACTGCATTGCAGGACATTTTGGTTCTTGCCAATGGGAAGGAAAATTCTACTAAAGAGGGTATCCATAGTACACTACATTGAACTACAGCTTTACCTTTGAATAAATTATGGTGATTTATGCTCCTTTACTTATTTTTCAGGGGCAAGCTCTGTTGAAGAGTTTCACAGGATTCACACTTATTTAAATCTAACCAATTTATTCACTGATTCATTTATATTTGAAGAGATTAATCTACAATTAAATATTTGGCAGATCCATATTAATTTATTTTTACAGCTATCTTTCAAACAAAAGACTGAGTTTATTAATTTCACTATTACACTCGCATTGTTATGTTCGCAGCAGCAGACAGCACAAAATAGAAATGTTTTATTCTGATGCCAACTACTGCTGGCCAAATGCATTTTGTGTGAACGCCCCTTCCCTCACACTTGTTTTAAGTAGCAAGAGTAGCTCAAATCATAAATCTTAGGAAAACAACTTCAGCATGCTCAATGTAACTAAGAATATTTAATTTTGAAAACATGCAAAGGATGTATTTAGAAGATGGCTTGCTCTTATAACCATAACATTTTTTGAAAGGTGCGCATGACCAGAGTATATGCTGTATAAATCTTTCAATGGCTTCTGAATACCAGTCACTGGAAAAGAATAGTGGGAAGCTATTCCCGTATGAATTTATGGCCCCGATGCAAAACAAAATGCAGTATTTGTGCTGTAGTCTCTTAGAACAATTTCAGAACAGATTTTACTGCTCTTTGTTGTGTTATTATCTTAAAGAAAGAGCCCTATAAAAGTGGAAGTGTAAATATTTTCTGCGACTAAGGCAGTTTTCTGTATTTCTTTTATACTCTAGTTTGCATGAAGCCAATAAAGAATTTGGCTATATACTATACTCTTTTTATATTCCATGGGTTTGTTTTTTTTAGACCTACAGGTTTTATTCCTGCCAGCAAAACTTCATCTGCAATGGAACATGCTTAGTGTAAGAATAGATAAACATTTTATTAAAGCTTGTTTCTCCTCCTAGGTATATGTATCTCAATCTGAATACATGTAGTCCTTGACTTATAACCACAACGAAGCCCCAAATTTCCATTGCTAAGCAATACAGTTGTTAAGTGAGTTTTACTCCATTTTATGACTTTTCTTGCCACAGTTGTTAAGTGCAGTTGTTAAGTTAGTGACACTTCCCCATTGACTTTGCTTGTCAGAAGGTGCTCACATGACTCCGGGACACTGCAATTGTCATAAATATATGCCAGTTGCCAAGCGTACAAATTTTGTTCACATGCCCATGGGAATGCTGCAATGGCCATAAGTGTCAAACATGGTCATAGGTTTTTTTTCAGTGTCCTTGTAACTTTGAACAGTCACTAAACGAATAGTTGTAAGTCGAGGACTACCTGTAGTACTGTAAAAAGTTATCTGGACTTAGAGGCTAATACAGTACCTGGTTTCCCATTCTAATGGGGGGCCGTGGGCCTCCTGCGTATCTCGGTGACATAAAAGGCTGTAAGCATATAAAAATAGTTGAGTGGCAATGAATGTTTAAATGTGGAAGTCAACATTAAGCACTCTCATTTGTACATGCACATGAAAAATGACCCCCTCACACACACTACATACACACATTTCATTAACTAAGTATTTTTGAGGTAGAGTCCCAGCCAACCCAGTAATAAATTCAACATCCTGCATTCCACGCAACTTATAATTTGACAAATATATACAAAAGCAAATTAAACAAAAAAAACCCCTCTCGGTATTTTTTTTTTCAAAATCTTTGATGTGTGTTTGTGTGTGTGTTGTGCTATATATTTTAAACTTTCGCAGTTGTAGATTCAGCTGTTAAAATTAAACACACAACGTCTGTACTGGATATTCTTTTACTTAGTTTGTTAAATGAAAAATGAGGTTTAAGAAGGGTTGAGTTTAAAATATTCCAATGACAAGTTGTGAAAACATGTTCTCAAACCATATTCAGGAAAAAAAAGAGTAAAAATTATATTTGCATGTAAATTAGCATCCGCGAAATGAAAAGCTGTTTTCTAAACTGATGTCAATAAAACAAGTTCAACCCAGAAAAACAGACGTCTTAATGGAGATGGAATGAAATAAGCATTCGGGGCCCACAGCTTGAGTAGAAATAAATCTGCAAAGTTACTGAAATGATCCTGGAGCCTCATATAATGATGTTAGTGGAAGAGAAGGACCCCCCACATGCTAGAAAGTTTCACTCAGAACACACATATACCCAGATTCAAGGTTTTACCTGACTGTGGGGTCCCATCATGCTGTTGGGGTTGTGAGGTGGAGGCTGTGCGTGTGGCGAGGGCTGAGAGCCAGGCGGTCCCTGTCAGATTGGATAGAAGAAGGTGGTTATAGATCAGATACATCCATGTGCAAGAAAAGAATTTGCATAGTAAGTTGATAAATCTTACCAAACAAATAGTTTGGTTCGATGTTTTATTAACTGAAGAAGAACGGCTAAGCATATCAGAAGAGCTTTTAGATTATAAAGAAAGAAAAAGAAAGGAAGAGGCTTTGGCCGTAATTTAGTTTTGGTCGCTGTAATTGCACATTATTCTTGAAAATGCCACTGAAATTCTTCTAATAACACTGACAGCAGACAGCAAATAACAAACTAACATTTATTATTTAGCCACATCTCATTTTCAAAGTTTGTCTTAGAATTCTGAGTAATGGATAGAATGGGTTTCTTTGGTAATTGCAATATCTGGATTAGAAAAAAATTAATGAATATTCTGTTGTTCTGTCACTGGACCAAATGCTGAAGTTCCACTGATCATGGACAGCTTAAAATACATACAATGTATAGCGACACATAATTGGTGAGCATACATTTTATTGCCATAACTTACTAAATACAAACTCTGATCTCAATTAATATAATATCTTCCTAATACCTTAAACATTCCCTTGTCTAGACTCACTAAAAACTGCACACATGGCATCACAAGAAACACAGCATGTCTACCATATCTGTCCTGGTATCTTCCTGCATTACAACATGCTTTTCCCAAACTATGTTAATCAGACATTTTGCGTAAGCCCAACGTGTAGCAAATTTGCTTTGATGGTATGAATCATGATGCAGATTCGGGCCACATAGCTTTTCTATCTGAAAAGAATATCTACTGATGCAAGTCTCACTTTTCCACAATATTGGATCATCAGTAAATGCATTTGTTTAAATATTTGCAGAATGTGCAAAACAATTTGTTCACTCACAATCCTGTCATAGTAAATTAGCATTTTATTTTCACCTGCCACGCAGCTCACAGGAGGGAAGAAACAAAGAGAGAGGGTGTTTAAATGTATTTCTTCTGCTTCAGAGTACTTCCCAATCTAGAAATCTGCGACAACAGTAGCAAACGAACAGGGGCGTTTTAAAATATGTCTCTACATTCAAAATAGAGACCTCCAACAAATGGGAAAATACATTTGTTTCAACCGAGAACCAGCCCATTGTGTCAAGCTACCTGAAGCTAGGCATGCTTTAGCAAAAAGGAACCGTGGAATGCTTTGGTTGTTCTGAGTATCAGATAAAATCCAGATGGAGCAAGTAAGGAAAAGCTGACCTGCACTGCCTTCTTTCTCATTTTGGCATATAATAGCCCCTTCCTGCCCCAAACTTCTCAAAACTGCCCCCCCCCCCAATATTAATGACCAATGTTCTCAGATTTTTTGCCATTCTCTTCCATCCCGATCAATCCAATCCTCTTTCTATCTGGAACAAAACAACCCCTTTTCTCATCCCAAAGATGTTTTTTTTCCCCTTTTTCCTTAACAATACTATGTCCTATATCTCTTACATTTATTAACAATTATTTACATTACTTCTCTTACTTTTTTATTCCTTAATTCTAACCAGCTATAATACATGTCCCATACCTCGTGAAATTCAGTAATGTCTTTGTCTTTCATTTCTAGATGTTTTTTCCAAAAGGCAGCTGGACTTTCTTCTTCAATTCTTGGATGAAAAGAGAAACGTTTTCAAAGGGGGAAAAAACAACCCCAAGAAAGTCCAGTTGCCTTTTGGAAAAAGCACCTTTAGAACAAACATGACCTCAATGATTGAGAATCTTCACAGATGCTTACAACCTCTTCTCTTCACTTGCCAGAGCAAAACACCTGAAACATTCACTTTTCAGCTCAGGTGTAGATCAATCCCCTCCCAAAAGCTGTCCCATGCAGAGATAGAATTTCTTATGAATGGAGTAGCTTGCATATATATATCTATGCAAAACTACAGCACAGCCTTTTCGAGATGTCTGCTTATGTTCTGTCATCCTGATTAACTATTTGGTGATCCAAATAAACTTTTTTGACTAGTGATTGGGAAAACACTATATTTCCTTGCAAGGAAGGAAAAACGTGTTTGTATGGTTTTAGCTCAGTCATGCTACAAGTCTAGACTGGTTAGATTAAACACATTATCCACTTCCAAGAATTTGAACTTCTTTTCTAGAGCGAGGTCCGAAACATGAATATCCAAATTCAGGCTACGAGGTACAATATGTTGCTTGTTTAATTTTATTTTTTTGTCCTTGCAAATAAAAACAAAATTGTAATTGATCTGGAAACCAAATATGATTTGTAAGTTAGGAGAAGCAGCCACACACACTTCAGGAAGAGCAGACGAACAGATGTTCCATACCTGCCATGTTAGTAATTTCAACAAGTGTTCGCCTTCTAGCTGCTGCCAGCAATGGCACGGTTTGTTACCATGAGCAATTTTCTTAATTAACAGACATTAATTAGCCATTTAGCAATTTTGCAAGCATTTGTTTAGCAGCTTTCCTAAACATGAATACCACTGTGATAATGGTACTGATTAGAGGATCCCCTAATTAACAGTACAGGGAAGGAAAATTGAAATCACATAAATTTAAAAGGGGAGGGGAAGTTAATGAAGGCAGGACATATTTGCACCTGCAAATCTTTTGTACAAAGGAAACTTGAGTGCAATATAAATAAAGGAGAAAAAGAATTGTTAAGAGTTAACACAGAAAGATACAAACAGAAATCTAAACAGAAGCACGCTCTTTGCTGATCCTCCAGGTTATATTTAACCTGGAAAACTGATTTCCCATCGCATTAATAGAATCTATTGTGTGCAGGGTGCTAATGTTTGCTCATTAACTCTTCATTTAACTGAAGGCTCAGAGCTGCTTCTCACATCTTATCTTTGCTCTGCTATCCTTGTTTTAGCACTGATAGCCAAACAATGACATGATGATGTACAAAAGACGTACACGCCTCAACTGTTGCATTTCCCTTTAAAATAATTATATACAATGAATAGGCAAGAATTAGGATCCTGCCTTCTAATACTACCCAGGAAAAGCAGTAAGACCTCCAACATGTGCAACTTTCATACCTAACACAAAACACATACAGTATATATCGTATGCGCCATTATTCAGACAACATAGACAATGGGATCTTAATTATCATGTCCTCTACCAAGTTTAGTATCTATCTGGAAAGGAATATTTAAAGGGTCTCTGACAGTGCTCAAAAGAAACTAAATGTTAAGATTATTTAACTGCAAATAGAAAAGAATTATATATACATTAGCTGATGCTCTTAAAATGCTTTCCTAATAATTTTCTTCTTTTAGCTATGTAAGCTGAATGCCAACCAAAAAATTACTAAATGATTTTGTTTATGGGCTTGTGATAACTCTCCCCCAATATCCAACCCAGATATTGTCTAGTTATCAAAACAGACTGGAATTGATATGTTCTTGTTCCTGTGTCCTGTTTTCAATGATGGTGGTTTTCTTTTTCCTAATCAGATTTGTTGCAGAACAATGCAGAATTCATATGATACATGTGTCCAGCTTGCATTTTGTAGCAGAATGTACAAGAAAAAGTTCTTGTATGATACCATAAGTGGCATATAAAAACTTGCCACCAAAACCATTCTAGTACAAATGATTGTTTAATTTCAAAAAGAAATTTCTCATTTAATTTTTGCCACAGAAATGTGTTTACCATTCATCATTTATGCATGCATGGATACACACACCACACATACACACACACAAACACACACACACACACACACAGAGAGAGAGAGAGACAGACAGACAGACAGACAGACACATGGTATAATACAATTCCTTGTTCTTCCACTTCAATGTACTAATATAACAATTTGAAACAACAACAAAATATCTTTTTTTAAACTGAATTCAGGAAAATCCACAGTTTGAAATATGAACTTGAATTACTATTTCCTTTAACCAAACTAGTTTTTATTTTTAAAAGCGTGCAGGTAAATAATACCTGCTATCTAGGATTTAACCTCAGTGATTTAGTACACTGCTTTGCTTATATCAAGTCAGAAAAAACATGTTCTGTTGTTTGTGACATACAGTTTTGAAGCAGAAATAATCAACTGTTAATTGAAAAGAGTCATAAAAAGGACAAAACCGTTTTCTTCTCCAAATGTATTATCAGCTAGCTACTAAAGGAAACAAAAACAGCTTCTAGAAAGCTCAAAGAAACCATCTAATGACTTCAAACTTATTTATTACAACTACCAGCAAAACTGCCTGTATCCACTGAATGTTCATACACCCTCCCCCAAAGCTGTACAATCTTTACCTTTGTATCTTACCATATTGTTGTATTCCCCAAACTGTAATATCCAAGCTTCATATACTTATAGATCTAGACAGACTTCTACATATTCTTTTCATTCACTTATCCAATTTTATCAAGCCATTTCATGATTCTCCTACTTTTAAACGGTAGCTTCAAACTACAAACCTAAAACAATTTTGTCCACACGTTTCTTTGTAATAACTGAAGTTGAATAATATAAAGAGCTCAGTTAAGATAGGAGTTATTTATTTTTATCCACCTTTATTATTTTTACAAATAATGCAAGGCAGCAACCCTATCCTACCCAACATACCTTCCTCTTCCTGTTTTTTCCCACAACAACCACCCTGTGAGGTGAGCTGGTCTGAGAGAAAATGATTGGCCCAAGGTCACCCAGTTAGCTTTCAGGCCTTAGCCATGAAAGCCAGCTGGGTTGCGTGACCTTGTGGCCAAGCTCTCTCTCTCAGCCCAACACACCGCACAAGATATTGCTTTAATCCAAGGGTCTTCAAACTTGGCACGCTGGCTGAGGAATTCTGCGGGTTGAAGTCCACAAGTCATAAAAGGGCTAAGTTTGAAGACCCCTGCCTTAATCACTACACCAAATAGTTAAGATGTCTGCTGCAGTGCTTACTAGTCTTACATTACTGAGCATAGGCAATACCAAATTAAATGGATACTAATCCCACTCAGCAGCATTATCAGATATATTATCTGTACACTAATATCATTATAAGAGTCAGCTTGGTGTACCGGTTAAGGTACCAGACTAGAAACCGGGAAACTGTGAATTATAGTCCTACCTCAGGCACAAAGCCAGCTGAGCTACTTTGGGTCAGTCACTCTCAGTCTTAGAAACCAAGCAATGGTGAATCACAAGAACATTGCCAAGAAAACTGTAGGGACTTGTTCAGCAATTGCTAGAAGTTAACACTGACTCAAAGGCATAAATAAAACAAACTAAATGTCAGTTCACATGAAAGATTTCTCAACTATAGTTAAGAGAGAGAAGTAGAACAAAGGATTTCAGGATCATATGTTCCTGCTTTGAAAGCCAATCCCCAATTTAACAATTATTAATTCTTGACCGGCACAGTACTAATCAGTAACGTAACTAAACTATATTCCTTAAAGTATGTCTCATAATTCTGGTCTATAAAGTCATTCAACTGGCTTTACTGCACTTAATACTGATACTGACTCTGGTATCATAACAGAATTTAAGGTAAGCAAAATGTTTCTGCTGTTCTATGTAGGTAAGTGGTTTGGCAAGGGATACTGTGATTTCATGGCCTTCTCTTTATCACTTAACTGCAGTTTAAGACAACCAATACAGCTCCCATTATCTGAACTGTGCGCAATAAATAGCTCTGCTGTAGTGGAAAAATCACTTGGTTAAAAGATGGCAAGATATGAGATGTGGAGCTAGTACAAGTAGTGCTTTTGAAACACATCAATCAACTACTTACAGACGGAACAAATTTATAAGAATTTTTTAAAAATTCAAAATATTTAGACTCAGAAGAGATTTGGAAGAGTGGAAGGAGAATCTCAGACCACTAAGAGTAGGCAAAGGAATGATAGATGAAATCGGTAATGGCAAGTAATGGAGGGATAATCACACTCACTGGAGACATGGAAATGGATCTTAATGTACATACAGCTTTTTCACACAGCTGCTCATTATTCTGCATTCACCACAAGGACAATGGAAAGTGACTATTCCCATCCATCCACCCATCCAATTCATGAATGGCATAGAGCTGCACAGAAGCCCTGTTTTTTATGTTTTATAGCAATAAACATAAAACTGCATTCCAGTATTGTACTTCAGCAATGAAATAACTGTTATATTGGATTAATGTAATTAAGTGGGGGTAAAGGCTGATAAGTCTTTAAACTGATGTTAGACTTTGGTTCCCACAGGATTCCATGATGGACAGTAGCAGAGACTTCTTTTAAAAGGGGGAATATCTTTTTAAAGTCAATTAAGAAATCACAAAATACACTAGCTTTCAAGATCGTCAAGTTACTGTACTTCATCTTTTGTAAAATCTTATAAAAATAGGTTGGGGAAGAGAAATAAAGGCTGTCTGAAATTATGAGGGCTGAATGACCAAAGATGGAACAGTTTAAGTGGGCTATGGCTGGGGTTTGAGTACTGTGTAAACACTTAAAGCAGGTTACAGAGGACAGAGGTACCCTGGATACTAGAGAATTGGCTCTGTTACTTGTGTGCCTCCCTTGGCCTCCTCAGCTGCCTTATGCTTTTGTGAGTTTGTTGTGGTTGAGACCACCCTCATTAAAGTT